TCCGCCGAAAGTCCCAGTGGCACAGTCCGCATGCGCCCCCGCCACTCATTTCGGCCCACCCCTCACACGTTTCGCGGCCCATAGGAGCTCCGCCGAAGGTCTCCGTCACACGCTTCGTGGTCCATAGGAGCTCCGCCGAAGGTCCCCGTAGCACAGTGCGCACGCGTCCCCGCCATTCATGTCGGCACATCCCTCACACGCTTCGTGGCCCCATAGGAGCTCCGCCGAAGGTCCCAGAGGCACAATCCGAAGGCGTCCCCGCCATTCATGTCGGCCCACCCCTCACACGCTTCGTGGCCCCATAGGGAGCTCCACAGAAGGCCTCCGCGGCGCAGTCCGCATGCGTGCCGCGCATCAATTTCGGCACACCCGTCACATGTTTCGTGGCCCCATAGGAGCTCCGCCGAAGGCCCCCGCGGCACAGTGCGCACGCGTCCCCGCCATTCATGTCGGCACATCCCTCACACGTTTCGTGGTCCCACAGGAGCTCCGCCGAAGGTCTCCGTGGCACAATCCGAAGGCGTCCCCGCCATTCATTTCGGCCCACCCCTCACACGTTTCGTGGCCCCACAGGGAACTCCACCGAAGGTCCCCGCGGCGCAGTCCGCATGCGTCTCCCCCACCCAGTACAGCGCTTCGTGGCCCCATATGGAGCCCCACCGAAGGTCCCAGCCAGCCAGCTAGCTTTCTCTCTGCTCCGCGCGGCGGACGACCCGCGCGCGTCGCTGGGACCCCTCTGGGGCGACCAGCGCGCGTCGCGGGGGTTCCGTGCTGCGTTCTGCCCAGCGTCTCGCTCGCCCGTCGTCGCTTTGCCCAGCGGCAAGAGCCTTGCCCGCTATCAGCCAGCCAGCTGGCTCTCTTTGCTCCGCGCAGCGGACGACCCGCGCGCGTCGCTGGGACCCCTCCGGGGCGACCTGCGCGCGTCGCGGGGACTCCGCGCTGCGCTGCGCCCGCAGCCTTGGACTTTTGAGTGCGCGGGCAAAGAGGGAGTAAAAGAAGGGGAGGAAGCGGGCGAGATCCTCGCGGGGGGGCGCGCCGACATTGGCGTTGCGGCGCGCGGGCGATGCCGTCGGGGAGTCCCGGGGAAGCTCCTTGCGGCGGCCACGCCCAGCGTCGCGAGTACTCAGAGGCAGTCGTTCTCAAAGTATTGACAATCATATACAATTGCACCATGCTTTGTCGTACTCGCATTCATGCACGTAGACTCGCCCACACGCAGATTCATGCACAGTCAGATGCACTCGCGCTCAGATTCACCCGCGCTCAGTCTCCCTACGTACTCAGATCAATCGTTTTCGTTCGCGTTGTGTACCGCGCCATTCATTTCGGCACACCACTAGCACGGTTCGTTGCCTCATAGGGATCGCCACCGAAAAAGTGAAGCACTATTGCGGTACTCACACCTGCATATGGTCGGGTCCCTCGTCAGGCTAATTTTCACGCGCGAAGGTCCTGTGAGGAAGTAAGGAGCATTCCCATACAGGCCGAAGAAATCGCAGTTGCTCCGAACAAATCGATGTTCGGTCGCTTCCTGAATGCCTGGAGGGCCCCAGGCACTCAAAATCTTCGATCGTCGAACTTCGAATCTAGATTCATTGCCTGTCTCTCTCGATCGAGGAACTGAAACCTCGAGCCGCAAGCGTGGGACCAAGATCGTCGGGTCAGCTCGGCCCTCCAGAGGTCATCTGAAGCCATCTAGGGCCCTCTTGGGATCCTCCAATGGCCTCCTTGGGGGTCTCCCATGGCGTTCGTGGGTCTCTCTTGGGAGCCTTCTGGGGGCATCTTGGACTTCTTGTGGGCAGTCTCGGGGCTCTCTGGGGAAGTCTTGGGGCCCTCTTGGGCCGTCTTCACACCCTCTGGGGGGCCTCTTGGGCCGTCTTGGGGCGATATCGGGGGCCCATCCGGCCGTCTTGGACGCTGCGAAGACCCCCAAAGCGGATACACTAAACAAATACATTTCCCTTAGAGAATGGATCGATTTGTGCTTCTTCGGGGCTCTCTTAACGGCCTCTTGGGACGTCTTGGGGGCCTCTTGGGCCGTCTTCGGACCATCCAGGTTCCTCTAGGAGCGCTCTTGTGCTGTTCTGGGTCTCTCTTGCGCCTCTCCGATGACCCCTCGGATCGCCTATAGTCTGCTTGCAAGGCCCGGCAAGGCGCCCTGGGAGGCCCTGAAAGGCCAGCGGACCTTTTCCAAGGGCGTCCAGGGGGCCGCCGGGACGTCCGAAAAGCAACCGGAGCGTCCCTGGGGGGGGTCTGGTTTAGGGGGGGGGGGGTCCGGGTAATAAAAATATTGTAATGGGAATAGCTATATAGCTGGCCTGACCAAGAATATGATTAGAAAACTCTACCGGATGGGTTCCGCCCACGTCGACCAGATCTGTACAGTTCCTCCGCGAAGCCACTAAAAGCACTTGTCGAAAGCTGTAGTAAGGACGCGCTGCAAGGACGCAAGACCCCTGGAACGGCAAGCACGCAAGGGTGCCTTTTGGAAGGTTACCCGCCCTTACTATGGATGTTCAATGTAGGCCACATATAACCCGCCTCCGCATCCGCTTCTAAGCCTTGGTTGACCCAAAAGGAGATCCAGCTGAAAGGGGGTGGTGCAATAGGGTTGGGGCGATTGTATTGCAAACGTATTGCGCCAGAGAATTGTATTGCACTGTATTGCATTCAATGTATTGCACACAAAAACCATCAATATACTGACGTCCCGGAATGTATTGCACACTCCGATTCTATTGCAACCCCACAAATCTATTGCACCAAATCTGCTGCACCACCCCCTTTCGCTGGACCCCACCCCGGGCCAACCAGATAAACCCCCCATATCCCCGTAGCAACCCCAGCGGTGATCTCAGCATGGGGGGACCAGCTCAGTGGGGAAACGTCGAGCGGGAAGCGGCGCTGCATCGCCGACAGATCGGCGATGGGTCCACAGTGGCAAAACCGCACGCTCCTGGCAACTCACGGGAGCCTCCCATTGTCGGCTCTTGCGAGTCGACGCTAGACGACGCTAACAGGACGCTAAACCGACGCGAAACCGGCGCTAAGCCGACGCGAAACCGACGCGAAATCGGCGCGAAATCGGCGCTAGCCCATCCACCCCCAGACGCGAACCGACGCCAATCGACGCCAAAGACCAACCTGCGAGGGCACACGAGGCCCCCGTGCTGTGCCACCGCCCAGCCCTGGCGGCGCGCACAAAGGGGCTGGGGGGAGGGGGGAAGGGCCTCGTAACAGGAGGCTGCTGCTCAGAAGGCGCCGGCCTCGCATCTATAGATTTATACATAAATCGGGCCCGCGCCTTCCGAGCAGGGGGGGCCTCTCAGAAGGGCGTGGCCGCGCGTGGCCGACATCCCCCCCCTCGCCTTGCCCCCCGAGGTCCGCGCGCCGCCGCCCGGCGCGCGGGCGCCGGCGGCCGCCGCGGGCGCCGCCGAGCCGAGGGGCACCGCCCGCAGCGGCTGCGCCGCCGGGCTGGCCGCGGCCGCCGAGGGCACGAAGGCGGCCATCGGGCCGGCGCGCTGCGAGCGACGAGCGAAGAGCAGACGCCCACACCCATACATAGGGTCCAGGTCGGGCACGTCCCCCATACAGGGGGATACTTGGGACGAAAAAGCACAATTGTCGAGCAATGCTCCAGACATGCTCCCACAAAAGTCCCAGGAAGTCGTCCCCACATTATTTTTGGACCAGTTTTGAAGAGTCCTCCTGCAGAGGGACAGGCCCGACTTAACCATAGGGAGCTCGGACGGAGGAGGGCTGGCTATGAGTATTGAGTGCGGGCTGTCGGACCCCGAGGGAGGCTCCCGTTCCAGCGGGACCCCCAATCCGACAGCACGCACCCGTGGCCCTCCCCGCCCCCCCCTGTGGGTATGGGTGTGTGTGTGTGTGTTGTTCGTTCGTCAGCAAGGGCACGAGGGGCCGCGGGTGAGCCTGCGGTGGGCGCAGGGATTTGAAACAGAAAAGACGGCATTAACATAATGTGTTGGCGCTACCCGCGGATTTCTTGGATCTGCGCTGGGCCCCCCTCCCTGGCGCGCGGCGCGCGCCAGGGGCGGCGCCGGCGGCGCCGCCGGGGGCGGCCCAGCGCGGATCCAAGAAATCCGCGCGGAGCGCCAAAAGTGTATGTTAATGGCGTTGTTTTCTTCTTCTTCTTCCACGAATTCACCTGAGCCACATGTGCGAGCCACGAGACCCGTTGAGAGTGATAACCATGGTGCGGCCCATGGCGCCTCCTGCTGCTAGCACTGCGGCCGGGCGGACGACTGCGCGGCCAAGATTTTCCGCACGCTGGCAAAAAGTCGAACGAGTATCGCCTCCCAAGGCCCGACACGGGAAAGCCTATCAGTTTCCGTATTTCGTTGGTGCTCGAATTTCTTTCTGGCAATCATAGCTAAAGCAAGTTGGAACAGCAGAAGTCTACGGGGCCCAGGGGGAGAAAGAGGGGGAGGGAGGCGGCTGGTCAAACTTGTCGTTGGCGTTGCTGCCGCTTGATGGCCACTGCGGCCCTAGGAGAAAAAACTGCATATACATAAACCGTCGAAGGCCAGCGCGGATCCTTACCAGTTTATGTTTGTGCAATTGGTTCTTCTTCGAGGCCCGTGGAGGGTGATCACCATGGCGCCGCCGCTGGCGCCTCCTGCCGCTGGCACTGCGGCCTGGCGGACGACTGCGCGGCCAAGATTTTCCGCGCCCCGGCACGCGGTACGGCAGCCACGAGCCCATAGCCACCGCAGCGGTACGGGGAGGACCGAGCAATGGGGTCCTGAAGCCGCAGCGGGCTTCGAAAACTGCAGCAGACTGCCGTGCGGCCGGAGGAGACTTGACGGGCCGCGCCATGCTGCCTGCTCGTCTTCCGGCGAAAACCGTTCGAATCCTCCTGCTCCTACAGAGCAGAAGCCCGCTGGAATCTGCGCCTCCCTCGGCCCGCCCGATTCATGGGCTGGCCGGGAGCAGCACCAGCGCAGTGACCCATCCACCCTCAGATCTCCGCGGTGCGCTCAGAGGCCGAACTGCTGGATGCCGTCCTTGCCGGTGGCAATCTCCGCCAGCAGGATTCCCATGACCGAAATCATTCCCATGCGGCCGTTGTTGAGCTCCTTGTTCCGAATCTCGTCGCTGTAGCCGCCGCCGAAGGCGCCGAAGAGCCCCGCCCAGTCTCCCGGGTCCCCAAAGTTGCCGGGCTCCTTGGACAGGTCGTCATCCTTCCAGTACACGCTCTCCGTGAACGCGGCGATGGGGAGGATGAGGCAGGTGAACCCGAGCACACCCGTAGGGTCGGTGAGCGCCCCGAGCCCTGCAGGGGTCTGCTCGAAGCCCGGGAGCTTCACGAAGTGCTGGAAAGCGGTCCCGAAGGCGGCCATCATGGCGACGCGCCCGTGCTTCAGCTCGGAGCTGCGGAGCTTGTGGAAGCCTGCGTAGTCGCCGACCTGGCAGAACCCCAGCGGATCGAAGTAGCCCAGGGGCGCCGTCACGCCGACCGCCTTGTCGGCATCGTCATGCCCGTCCCCATCCCCATCCCCAGCGGGCCAGGGTTCCTTGGCGACACCAGCCTACCCCCTCGAGGCCAGGATGGACGCCGCAAAATCCGACGGGGCCGGCATCAATCCCCGCCTGGGGGGGCGGGGGGGGGGGCAGGTCGGGCAGCGGGACCAGTGCTTTCGAAGCGGGGATGGGGTCAGCAGAAGAAGACGACACGGTATAACATTAACTTTCGAAGGCCCGCGCGGATACCTCGCATCGGCGCTGGACCTCGCGGCGCCGGAGGCGCCGCCGTTGGGGGTCCAGCGCAGACCCAAGAGATCCGCGCGGACCCTCGACCAGTTAATCTCTCTATGAGAGATCAAAAAGACCAATGCCGCCACTCCCTGGGCCACGCCCAGGGCGCACTCTCACCAGGATCCAGCGGCGAATCCGGCCGCGGCGTCGAGGAGGTGGGTAATGGCAGCGGTAGCGGCACCTAGTCCTCCCTTGAGCTCGTGCCGGTCTTCCTTCCTCTCGGGCGCGTGGTAAGAGGGGGGGGGTCCCAAGTGGGTGGTGAAGAGAAGGGCCCCTTGGGGGCCTTCTTTCTTCACCCCCCGGTTAACTATAGGTCACCCCCCAGCACCACCCGCGCGATCCTCGATCGGGGACCTACTGACCTGGGTCCATCCAAAGCCGGGTCGGTCGGGCCTCGCGCAAGATGCTGCAAACTCCTGCAGGGTCCTGCAAACTCGCGCACTCAAAAGACCGGGCCAGTGCAGCCCTGGCTCTGCAGGATGCTGCAGGGCCCAGCGCTCGGACGGACCCCCGCTTGCACGGACCCCTGTCTCTTGAGCCCCGACTCGAGGTGGGCCCAACGATGCCGGCCTTGGCCGGGTCGAAGGGCGGCGGGGCCTGCGGGGCCTCCTCCGCCGCGGCGGCGGGCGCCTCCACCACGGCCGTCGCCGCGGGCAGCGCGCGGCGCGGGCCGCGGCCTGGCCTCCTGCCGCTGGCCACGGACGCAGCGGCCAGGGCCGCGGAACCCAGCAGCCAGGGCGAGGCGGCGCCGGCCGGGGTCCTGAAGGGGGGGGGGCGGCGTCGCTTGGATGACCGCGGGGGGGCTGAGGGGATAGGGGGCGCAGAAGCGGATGCTAAGGCGGGCTATGTGTGTATGTATATGTATATATATATATATGCATATATATATATAACATATTATATTATATATATATTATACATATATATATTATTGGATTGTATATATAATATACTATATTATACTATTTTATATTATATTATATTTTATATTATATTGTATTATATGATTTTATTTTATATTATATTATTTATTTATATTATATTATATTATATTATATTATATTGTATTATATTAAACTATACTATATTATATTATATTATATTATATCGTATTATATTATATTATATCATATTATACTATATTATATTATATGTTTGATATTATATTATATTATATTATATTATATTATATTATAGTATAATATATTATATTATATTATATATAATAATATTATATTACATTATATTATATTGTATCGTATTATACTATAGTATATTATATTATACTATATTGTATTATATTATATCATATCATATTATATTATATTATGGTATACTATATTAGATTAGATTATAGTATTATATATATATATATCTATATATATCGGAGTAGGCCGGGGGAGGGCCCAGAACTGCTGCCTCTGGTTCGTATAGGGGGCCGGGGGGGCCTTGAGGGCTCCGTTCAGAAGGGGCCCCAGACCCCCCCAGGCTCCCCAGCTGGCCCAAGAGGCGCCAAAAGCGCCCCAGGTTGTCTGGAAGGTGGCTGAAGAGCGCGGCAAAAATCAAGCATTTCCGATGGAAAGACGCATAATTCTTGGATATTTGCTTTTCAATCCTACCAGCGGCCGCGACGGCCCCGGAGGCTCCCAAAATGAGCCCCAGACAGCCCCAGAGGCCCCCAAGAGGGCCCCCAGACGGCCCGGAGAGAGCTTCAAGCAGCACAAGAGAGCCAACACGGCCCAAGAGAGCCCCCAGGAACCCCGAGGGGGCAACCGGAGGATTCCTACATGGTCGGAGAGGGCCCCAAAGGGCCCCAAGACGGGCTGAGGTCTCCATGACGGGCGAAGAGTGACCCGGAACGGCCGAACTGGGCTCCCAGAGGGTTCAAAAACAACCTACCAGGACTCCCTGAAGACGGTCCAGGAGGCCGCTGAGAAGGCTCCCTGGTGCAAGAAACGAGCATTCCCCATGGAAATAATACACATTTCTATGATATTCGCTTCTTGTGTTCCATCGGCGACCACGTCGGCCCCAAATGCTCCCCAAATCGCGGCCCACGAGGCCCCCAAGTGGGCTCCTCCAAAACAGCCCGAGAGAGTCCCCAGGGGGCCCGAGAGAGCCACTGGAGGATCCCTACATGGTCGGAGCGGGCTCCATGAGGGCCCCAAGACGGCTCAGCTACCCATGACATGCCAAGAGGGGCTTGGGACAGCCGAAATGGGGTCCCAGACGGGCCACAAGAGGCCCAAAATGAACCCCCCACGACTGTCCAAGAGGCCGCTGAGAAGGCCCTCCAAAGGCAAAAATTAAGCATGTCGCAAAGAAAAACGAATATTACCTAACAGCGAAGACTGATAGGTTTCTAGTAGGGTCAAAAGAGAGCATCATGACGCCCCAGGGTGGTCTGGACGCGATCCGGGGGAGGGTGCCGGGGACTTTTTTTTAACCAACAGTTACACACTTCGTGGTCTTGGAGGTCCCAGAACTCCATTCCCGGGCCACATTCTGAATGCCCGGAGCCAACTGTAGGCCACTTCGTGGTCTTCGAGTTCCCAGGAACTCCATTCCCGGGCCACATTTTGAATGCCCGGAGCCAACTGTAGGTCACTTCGTGCTCTTCGAAATCCCAGAACTCCATTCCCGGGCCACATTTTGAATGCCCGGAGCCAACTGTAGGCCACTTCGTGGTCTTCGAGTTCCCAGAACTCCATTCCTGGGCATGATTTTGAATGCCCGGAGCCAACTGTAGGCCACTTCGTGTTCTTCGAGTTCCCAGAACTCCATTCCCGGGCCACATTTGAATGCTGAGGCAGGCTGATGCTGAGGCTGAGGCAGGCTGAGGATGAGGCAGGCTGAGGCTGAGGCCGAGGCTGAAGGCAGACTGAGGCTGAGGCTGAAGCAGGCTGAGGCTGAGGCTGAGGCAGGCTGAGGCTGAGGCTGAGGCAGGCTGATGCTGAGGCAGGCTGAGGCTGAGGCTGAGGCTGATGCAGGCTGAGGCTGAGGCAGGCTGAGGCTGAGGCCGAGGCTGAAGGCAGACTGAGGCTGAGGCTGAAGCAGGCTGAGGCTGAGGCTGAGGCTGAGGCAGGCTGAGGCTGAGGCAGGCTGAGGCTGAGGCTGAGGCAGGCAGGCTGAGGCAGGCTGAGGCTGAGGCTGAGGCTCATGCAGGCTGAGGCTGAGGCAGGCGGAGGCTGAGGCCGAGGCTGAAGGCAGACTGAGGCTGAGGCTGAAGCAGGCTGAGGCTGAGGCTGAGGCAGGCTGAGGCTGAGGCTGAGGCAGGCTGAGGCTGAGGCAGGCTGAGGCTGAGGCTGAGGCTGATGCAGGCTGAGGCTGCGGCAGGCTGAGGCGGAGGCGAGGCTGAAGGCAGACTGAGGCTGAGGCTGAAGCAGGCTGAGGCTGAGGCTGAAGCAGGCTGAGGCTGAGGCAGGCTGATGCTGAGGCTGAGGCTGAGGCTGAGGCTGAGGCTGATGCAGGCTGAGGCTGAGGCAGGCTGGGGCTGAGGCCGAGGCCGACGGCAGACTGAGGCTGAGGCTGAAGCAGGCTGAGGCTGAGGCAGAGGCAGGCAGGCTGAGGCTGAGGCTGAGGCAGGCTGATGCTGAGGCAGGCTGAGGCTGAGGCTGAGGCTGATGCAGGCTGAGGCTGAGGCAGGCTGAGGCTGAGGCAGGCTGAGGCTGAGGCAAGGCTGAAGGCAGACTGAGGCTGAGGCTGAAGCAGGCTGAGGCTGAGGCTGAGGCAGGCTGAGGCTGAGGCTGAGGCAGGCTGATGCTGAGGCAGGCTGAGGCTGAGGCTGAGGCTGATGCAGGCTGAGGCTGAGCAGGCTGAGGCTGAGGCCGAGGCCGACGGCAGATTGAGGCTGAGGCTGAAGCAGGCTGAGGCTGAGGCAGAGGCAGGCTGAGGCTGAAGCAGGTGTGAGGTGAGGCTGTGACTGCGATGCCGTTGCCACTGCGACCGCCATCGCGAATGCGACTACGACCCCCTTCCCCCCCCCCCCCGAGAACAGCAGAATTTCTACAACAGGTTCTCATCTGAATCGTAGGAGAATGCTTCCAGATATGCTCCTACACATCGCTGTTAGGTTGCTTTGCCGGGATAATTTCTGGGAGCTTCGCTTTTCAGTTCTACCAGCGGTCGCGACGGCCCAAGAGGTTACCAAAATGGGCCCCAGACGGCCCCAGAGGCCCCAAAGAGGGTTCCAAGATGGGCTGAAGAGAGCTTCGAGCGGCACAGAAGAGCTACAAGACGGCCCAAGAGAGCCCCCAGGAAGCCCGAGGGGGCAACCAGAGGATTCCTACATGGTCGGAGAGGGCCCCAGGAGGGCCCCAAGACGGGCTAAGCTCCCCACGACGAGCCAAGAGGGACCCGGAACGGCCGAAATGGACTCTCAAACTGGCCAACAAAGGACCCGAAGGACTCCAAAGGAAGGCCCGGAGAGGCTCTAGAGACTTCCACAATGTTTCCCAAAAAAGGCCCCCGGCACGCGTTCCAATAGGCACCCGTGTACTGGGTGCGTTGAGAGAAGAGAGGAGAAGGAGGAGGACAAGGAGGAGGAGGAGGAGCAGGAGGAGCAGGAGGAGGACAAGAAGGAGGAGGAATGGGAGGAGGAGGAGGAGGAGGAGGAGGAGGAGGAGGGGGAGGAATATCAGGAGGACGAAGAGGGGGGAGGGGGAAGAGGAGGAGGGACATTGTTCTTGTTAGATTATACTGTTTT